GCATGCAGAGCATACGACGTACGCCAGCCAAAAGCACCGATGATGTTACATGATATTCCTGCCAGACCCAGGCAGATGGTTGCACTAGACATTTTTTCTCACGATGGAAGGAACTATTTGATTGTGGTAGATTATTTTAGTGACTACTTCGAGATCGATGCGCTTACGACGACTGGTACGCAGTCCGTGGTGAACAAGTTGCGGTGCCAATTCGCTCGGCATGGAATACCCGAGGTGGTGATTTCAGACAACGGGCCGCAATTTAATAGTGCAGGGTTTCGTGCATTCAGCATGAAGTGGGATTTTCGTCACCGGCTAACCAGCCCATACCATAGCCGATCAAACGGTAAGGCTGAGTCCGCAGTGAAGGAGGCGATGAACGTACTTACAAATCCAAGAATACCCAGAAAGATCCGTACCTTTTACTACTGGATCGAAGGAATACACCATCTACTGATATCGGAGCGAGTGCTGCACAGCGTCTATTCAGTCGCCGAACAAGAACGCTAATACCGACCGCTACAACTCTACTGCAGCCCGAGATAGCGCCGTCCGATGTTCTACACGACCGACTACGGAACAGAATGCTAAGGCAAAAATAGTACTATGATCGCGGATCGAAAAGCCTCCCACCACTAGGTACAGGAGAAGAAGTATGGGTGCAGCCATTACCGGAATCCGGTGGATGTTGGCTGAAAGGAGTGATCAAACGTCAGAAGGGAGGGAGGAGCTATGAAGTCAAGGTTGGGGGCAATCTCATTCGACGGAATCGGGTGCAACTGAGAAGAGTGCGTCAGAAGTGGACACCGCAGAGAGAGGGTCAGCAACAACAACCGGAGAGGAATACTGCTACCCAAGCCCAGGACATTAAAAGCACACGAAGTGGTAGGCAATACGGAACATATTGTAACGCCATCCTAAAAAACGAAAAAGGAAAAGATATGATGGGGCTGGAAATGCTGGTGATTGGAAATGCTGTAATGCCGATCGAACGTCACAGGCCAGACCGATAGGGAGTGAGCATGTTGCCGGAAGCAGATTGGTCAGCCAATCAGGAAATAGTTGGTCCGTGATCGCGTTCAGCTTGCAACCATCCACTGAACGTGTAAGTGACCAATCAGGCGCCAGCAGGCGAAGGAGCGCATACTCATGTACCCTTGAGCTGAGGCTTGTGGCATTGGACCGAGGGGAGAAGCGCGCGGGCCCAATCCCGCAAATCGTACATCCACTAAGAAAGTCAAGGTGATTTTAGACAGAGTGAACGTGGCGAGCAAGCATAAACCAATGGAAAAGGAGCCAGTGACACAATGCAAATAACAGGGATGAGCCATTGAAACGGACTGTTGTAAATAATGTATATACTCTATAAATATTCGAGCGTAGTCTTAATAAACGACTTCATCATCGCTACCCAGTCTTCTTGCTTCCCGGAAGCAACACAACATAGTCTGACTGCACATAGCCGACTGCCTGGCTGGGGTCCTAAGGACGGTGAACACGTTTTGTTGGACACACTTTCTGATATGGCTTGGAGCCGGCCCCAATGGCGATTGTATTTTGTGTTCCTTTGTCCATCCCCCTCCTGCTTAGCATCCCCCTCCAATCACGATCTCACTTGTTAAGCATAATATGACTCTTTTACGGCAGCCAGCTGTTAGCTCTCTGGAACGATGTCCATCCGTTAATGGGGACTCAGCGGGCGTGCCACTGTTTGTTTTCCTTTTCTTGTCTTTTGTATTGCGGTACAATAGTTGAGGTGTTTTCCACCTCCAGCTAACGTGTAATGATGATGATGACTGCACATAACCGACTGTTGACTGGGATCAAGTCAAGCAAAGCGACCTAAGCCTTGTCACTCAGGGCAACCCCGACACCAGCTTGGCCAGAAGTGGCGGCCTCTGAGTCTCTGGAAACGCGCAAGTGGTATTTGACGTCAGGGTTTGCAGAAGATGTCATTCTGATGACGGTACTGACGTCTTGCAACCTGGTTTCGGAGAGGCAACAGATGTCCACCGAGTGTCTCAAACGTGCGGGCCAGACATGCTTGTCGTGCGATCTGCATCAAAGTGCGCGCATTGAACACTGCAAGACCGAATTTAGAACCAATACGGAGGAAAGCTTTGGCTTCGGTTGAGTGGTGATGTTGTGACCACCGGGCAACGAACTCCAAACGTTTGGCTCAGCATTCTGTCAGATGTGGCCAGTGAGCTGTTGTTGACGGTGACCAGGGAAGGCATAGGTGTAGTTGGAGAACGGGACGTGGGGCGATTTGTGAGCGGATGTTGAGCAGCAGAGACTGTAAAACTAGTAGACCTAGCAAATGGGCAAGCAGCAGTGTAATCCATCTATGGTTCGTCATTGGGCGTGATACTACCCAGGTCGAAGTAGAGGGTTGTCTTAGGGGGCCTTACTCCAAGCCTTTGATCAATGATCTAACCTACAAGGCAGCATGGCGATGTGAGGGCGTCGCAACCCGTTGGGAGCGGGTGACCAAATAGTTGGTTCATGCGCTGCAGTTCTTCATTCATATCCTTGTAACAAGCCCTTTGGTGCTTCACTAGACTGCTTCGTATGGCTGTATGAGTTAACACATCACGTGTTGTTTAACAATACTTAGTTCAGTTGGATGAAACCTTGGGATCGCCATTGGTAGCAATACAGTATAGAGGGAGTCACAGAAGACCTAGATCGCGTTAGTGCTGGTCGCCTTAGGTGGGGACCTCGGGATGGACCTCATCGACGATTAGATATTGCACTATCGGAGTCAGCGACGCTTTTGCATTCGTTCTCTTATTTATGGTCAGTAACTGCCTCCTTTGGCGATTTTTATCCATTCCTCTCTTATTATTTTGATTACCACTATTACTCCCACTGTTCTTATTATTCATTTTGCAACATGTGTCAAGTCAACCGAATCCACTGCACTTCATAGTTAGATCTTGGTTGATATTCTGAACTGAAATGATGCACCGTCCGGACATACTCGATTTTCCTATGTGCAAGCTGGTGTAAATTGAAACGAATCAGTGGTCCACCTTCACCTGTTGTCTGAATTTGTACAGCACTTTAGTTAGCCGTGGCACAGTCGTTAGTCATCTGTCATAGCTTCCGGTCTTCTATTAAACCCGCGATCGAAAAACATTTCATTGTTCCGAGCATTAGGAAATCGCCACCTCGACGGAACCATCTTACTCGCTTCAGTGCGACTTAGCTAGGCCAGAAATATTCATTCACTGTTCCACATCCACGCTGTACCTCGATTCGAACACGCGCTTGAAGTCTGTGCTTCTAACATAAGCACCATGATTCCTTTTCAGTGGCCACCGTTTTTGTTGCAACAGTCAATGACTCCTGGACTGTCTTCACTATTCTACCAGCATGAGCATTCCTTCCACTCACGGCTATCATAATAGTAGTCCGGAAAATGCAAGGGGCCACTACTTCTGACGCCTTCCAAATTGCAACTACTGAGAACATGGTCGGCAACAAAAAATGCGCTTTATTGCCTCTGATGAAGCCTCGAATTGGCATGCTACACAGGCGGTCATTTGCTGGGATCCATTCTAGAGTGGAGGCGTCTGCACGCCCACTTGATTTCGCATGTTTTATGGCCATAGATCTGCCTGAACTCGGAGATCCCTACTGTTATGCCCAGTGTGTCTGGTTTACAAACCCCACACCCCGGGTTTTAATCCCTACTTAGATGTGGACACTATATCACTACCCCCTGTCGGCCGGTGATCTGCACTCCTGACGTGAAAACATAAGGTCGCCGGTTCGAATCCGCTTAGGGGCGGGCGTCCTGGTGGTATACTCAGCCCACGTGCAACTGGTGGTGGTCGCGCGGCAGCGAAGTGCCATTACGGCGTACAGCTGATGATTTGTTCATTTATTTTTACCCCCTAAGTCTCTCACAACCGCGTGTGGCTGTTAGTGGGGGATCATCATATGCTTTACTTTCTTATCCATATACTTGCCTTCGCGTGTAGCCGTTGTTGAATATTCTAGTTTATGCATCATCGATCGGGTGCTGCCTAGTTTGAAGCGAGGGATAACAGATCTGGGAGCTATACCTGTTCTCTCCTGCAATCACAAACAACGCGTGGCGCTCGAGCTTTGCACCAACCAAGCTGAGCTTCTAACGCCATAACACGGCCACCGACCGGTGACCGAGTGGTTTGCGCGCTTGGTTTGCAACCATAGGGTCACCGGTTCGAATCCGCGTAGGACTTGGCGTCCTCGTGGTATACTCAGCCCGCGCGCGACCGGTGGTAGTCGCGTGGCAGCGATGCGCCGTTACGGCATACAGCTGGCGGTTTTTTTATCTGTCTTCATTCTCTGGGCTGATTCCCAATCATTAACCTTTCTCTTTTGAGGGACTGATGACACTACAATGTACTACCCAGCATACCTCAGTAGATCACGAAGTTACGCAAATCATCGCATGTTAGGACTTCGTCTCGTCGCTATGACAGCATTGAAGCTCTGTATCTTCTTACTTGAAGCGCCGACTCACGGATTAAGTGCGTTTACGGCCTTTGGTTACACAGCAAACCCCATTTGCGCCAACTTTATCGCGATATGCCTTTGATAAGCAAACCCCAGTCGTTGCTAATGCGGCTGTTTGTGAGGGACTCCTCCATATAAGTCATTCGAGCCCTTTTCCGTGCTTTTAGCCTAAGCAGAAGCTCGGACCAAACCAGGTCGCAGCTGATTGGCCAACGAGAGCGTTTACCGGATTTTGGTAATTTACAGCAGCACATAACTTCCATCTAGGTTATTTCTTCTGATCTAAATAATCAGACCTATTTTGATTGTCAGCAAACGCTGTATTCCCAGGCTCAACTGAACGTCTTCTCGATGAGCTTGTCTGACTGTTCCGTACTGTCAGCAGAAACACAACAGCGGCCGAGATAAATCAGCTGAATAAGTTAATTTAACTGCTTGCATGCTTTAATCCAAGACATGTCTTTTTAACGCTTCTTGTTTTTTTCTCTCAACAGAGATGTCCGGGACACTAGAGAGCCAGTCTCACGATGCTCCACATGAATCACTTTCAGAGACCGACGGTCCGATCACTTCATATATGTCTTCGGCTCTTTCTTCTGTAAACGATCTGAGGACCCAAATGCAATCTCTGGCACGAATTATCCAATCCAACGATGTGCATAATGCAAACGCCATCCCTTCTGACCCTTGTATCTCACTGGCTCAAGCTAATTGTCAAGCAAATCTTCTTGATGAAGACACTCCACGCAATCGCATTTCACCTGTTTGTCTTGATAATTCTATCCCGAATACCTCCGTTCCGACGTCACCACTACATGGGATACTGGGATTAAATGAACATGTTAAAAGACAGGTTGATGACGTTGTTGCCCTTCTTCTCAGTACTCGCCGTCAGTTATTTGCAACCCTTCAAGATGTTCAAGCGACCATGACAGAGCTTGAGCTGTCAAACAGGGAGTATTTAGAATTGGAATGTGATTTACTGAGGCAGTCCAGTGTCCCGTCCACCAACCGACCTATATTAGATCAAACTGCTGTGTTTGAATTACTCGAGCGCCAGACAACGTTGTCCAGCGAAGAATTAGAACGAATTAAGATGGAGTTTGAAAACAAATTACAGCGGTCTACAGGTTTGTGCAGCTTTTGTTTACCAGGTGTACATTCATCTTATCCTAGAAATTGCCCCTTTAAATTACTATAGCCTCAATTTGTCACCGATCATCATCATCATCATCAACAACAGCAGTACATCAGCCATTTGAACCGATGCTTCGCTGCCATACAATCATAAGGACCTATGAAATAAAGAATAAGTGAGGAAGGGAATGGGGGACTTACCTGAAAACCTTAATGCCCTAAGCAAACATTCAGGGTCAAGGCGCCTACACCTTGTGTAGACAACATACCGTCACAAACAGCTGGCTATCGTGCAAAGATAAGGCGGCATCGGCGAGACAGCTTCCTTGCGGCTTTCACTGCCACGCGTCATAATCAGCCATTACCCCGCAGATAACTCAGCACCAAACACACTTTAAACAGGCAATCCAATTAGGAGACGGCAGCAGACGCGCCACTGGTGTCTACTGCGAGCCATGTCCTGTAAAGTCTCGAGCCAAGCACAAAGCGTGTCACGTGGACTCCAGCCCGGAAGGCGAGACGGACCAACGGCACCCAGTTTGGTAGTCAGTGACTTCATTTCCCGCTACCAAGTCAAGTTCTGTCCACCTCGTGCCTTGCGCCACCCTACACCTTGCAGACTAAACAAGGCCCTCTTAGGTAAGCGGTGATCAGGCATACGTAGCACGTGCCCGAGCCAACGCAACTTATTCAATGCTATCTGTTGTTCTAGGGAGCTAGCATGATTATCACCACCTAGTACTCGCCTACGCACATCATCGTTGCGGACACACTGGTGCCATCCGACTCCAGCAATGCTTCGCAGACAACGATGATCAAAGACTTGAAGGCGCCTCAGATCTTCAGACTGAAGGGGCCAAGTCTCACTACCATAGAGCAGAACGACCCTCACTGTGGCCTTGTAGACCCGGCCTTTCAGACGAAGGGAAACTCCCTTCTGTCGCCAAAGATGCCGCAGGTTCAAGAAGGTAGCTCTGGCTTTTGCAATGCGTGAGCTGACGTCAGTTTCTATGTGCCCATCATTACTGACGCAGCTGCCAAGATAAGTGAAATGATCAACCACCTCGAGTTCATCGTTAGCAAGCGTCAATGGGTCATCAAGTGGCTGGTGGTTCTGCAGCAACACTTTGAAGGTGCGAAGTGCATACCAAATAATGGGACCACTCTGGACAGGCAATTCAGGGTTGATTGTGCCGCCGCAACATGGCCGAAAAGCAAGACGATATCGTCCGCATAATCTAGATCAACTAACCTTTCACCCAGCAGCACTTCAACGCCTACAAATTGAAATTCCCCAAGTGAACACTCCATGATAGAATCCACGACGAAATTGAACAAAAATGGGGAAATCGGACAACCCTGACGAACGCCACTTGTGGTCGGAAAGCTATCCGATAGGCCACCGTAGACCCTGAGGCGGCCTGTAGTCTTCGAGTATAGAGCACGAGGGATGTTCACATATTTCGTGGGAACACCTTTCCGCGCGAGTATTTCGAACAGAATCGATCGATCGACTGAATCGAACGCACTCTTGAAATCGAGGAAGACAGCTATTGTCGGTCTGCGGTATGCGTGGCGCTGCTGTAGCACCTGCCGCAAAGTGAATATATGGTCTATACAGCCACGTCCTGGACGGAACCCGGTCTGCTCTTCCGTAGTCCGATATTCCCGTTCCACACTGAGGCGACGAATGAGAATCGATGCCAATAATTTTGTCACAACTGGCGTTAGGCTAATACCCCTGTGGTTAGAACAGTCTGTGCGATTGCCCTTCTTGTATATTGCCACTATAATCGATTCGCTCCAATTAGCCGGGACACTTCCTTCCAGATACATTCGAATAGGGAGGTCAGTGCTTTGCAGAGGACATCACCTCCATCCTTAAATAGTGCAGGTGGGAGGGAATCCGGGCCAGCGGCACGAAAACGATTAAGGGTCGTGATCGCCTTTCGGACCTCGGCCTCCGATGGAGGCTCTAAACTAACCTGCATGACCTGAGTAGGAAGAGGTCCGTGAGCAGGGGGCTAGATGAACTGATCTTGAAAGTGTTCCGCCTAACGAGCCATACGGCGCTCCTTATTGTGTAACAGCTCACCCGCGCTGTCTCTGATTGTCTCACTGACGCCTGGTTTTCTGGGACCAGTGGTGCGGATTAGCTGGAAGAGCTTGCACTAATTTGCCTACTGCTCCTGCCTCCTCCATTTCTTGAGCCCGACTGGTCCACCAGGCTTCCTTGTCAGCACGTAGGCTCTGCTTTAGTTCACGCCTAATAGCCCGTCTGGTCACATTGTGTTTAGAGCCAGCGGGGAGGTGTCTTCTAGATTCCAACAGGTTCACCGACCTCTCGGATATCCAGTGACTGGTGCGGTGACGATGGATAGTGCCGCAAGCAGGTGCTCCTGCGTCGTGCATGGCGGCCGAGATCCTATTCCACCGAACGTCATTGTCGTTAGGACAAGACAGCGGAACTTCGGTATGCATTGCGTCTTGATAAGCTTGCCTGACCGAGGGCTGAGACAATTTCTCCGTTGCCAGTCGCATGGGACGCTTGGTGCGCCTCCTGGTAAAGTTCATGGAGAAACGACAGCGTACCAAGACATGATCAGAGTCGACAAAGGTACTTCAGTACGAGCGGCAATCCAGGATGGAACCAAGCCATCTGTAACTTATGGCTATGTGGTCAATTTGGGTCCATCGCTGGCCAGCTACAGGAGGACGCCAAGTGGCATTTCGGCGCCCACTGTGTCTAAAAGTAGTGCTACTAAGTAACAACTGATGCTTCGCACACAGTTACAGCAGACGCTTACCGTTGTCAGTCCGTTCGGAGTTAAGCCCACAATTACCACCCAGCTGAGCTTCTGAAGAGCTCAGACGCCCTACTTGTACGTTCATATCCCCTGCAAGTATTATAATATCTGAACTAGTAGCACTGCGTAGTAGCGCGTTCAGTTCGTCATAGAATGTGTCCTTGAGAACATTAGAACTGCAGTCGATGGGAGCATAAGCGGAAATCACAAACAAACAGCGTTTTGTACTACTTCGTGAATCAACCTTAGCTGATGTCGTCAAACGGGCTGCACATAAACGGCTGTTCACCGGAATCCAATCAACCAACGATGGCACAGCGTTGGAGCTTAGAATGATACCTACACCAGCTTGACCCGTGAGTGCTGCATCGGCGTCTCCAGATGTGTGCAACCAATGACGAGAGGATAAACCGGGTGCAGTTAATTCATTAACCCCATTTGAGTCATTGATCCTAGTTTCGGACACACAACACACATCAATACCCAGTGTGTCCAAGGTGCATGCGAGTGCAGTTTGTTAACCTGTTTGTCTTAGAGTGCGAACGTTGAATGTCGTCATGGAAACGGGATAGCGTGGCCTTATAAGGGACTTTTGGCGATAGGCGTCCGATAGGTGCGGTGGGATGGTGGCTGCAGATGGTTCTACTCCAGTGACACTTCGGTTGCTGTCAATAAGGCTGGGAATTATAGAAGGAAGGTTAGTAATGGGGGTCGGGATGGGAGTAAGAGAAACAGGTGGAAAAGAAAGAAGGGAGGCGCCAGCAGTAGCATGTTTACGCTTATCCGCCCTGCTGTATGCAGCAGATAAGGCGACCCTTGATAATCTGCGCGACGGCCGATGCAGGATGAAGTTGATGTTTGAAGAAGATGTCATGGTTGTATGTGGGCTGATATACTGCCAAAGCGCCCAGACTTAGACAGGAGGACGATTAGGGTCCTCATCCAAAGCCTTTGGCTCAAAAGCCTGTCCGCAAGGCAGTGGGGAGGTGGCAATGATTTAGTTTCCTAGAATTGGTCGCCATCCGATTTCAAACCACCAACCTGGAGGACCAGGAGACTGAGTTTGTCTGACCTCTCACCATTGACCAACCTGGTAGGAGTAGGTCTCCAGGTGCCCGGAGGCACCACCTAGTATAGCTCAATGGGTCAATGAGGTGCGCAAACCGTCGCACCACGTTAAGGTACACTCATTCGGTCTCTGTAGACGGAACCAAAGGAGAGACGACAATACTTCAATTTTAAAACTTTCTGTACAATGAACGAGCTTTAGTCCTTACCAATTTCACCATGGCTGATCAAATTTCTCCCCTGATTCCATCAAAAATGAGCTGCAATATCTCGCCACGACATTGCGGAAGAACGGATATCCGGAGCTGTTCATACTTCTACACGCCAACTCAGAACCCCAAGGAGAAACCATCTACTGATGTCATTAAGAAAAAGCTCATTATGGGGCTTTGGAGTACCCGCCGTGTGTCTGGATTGCAACACGCAATCTCGATCGAGGCTACAGTTTGCTTCAAACCAAACCTATGACATTTCGATCACTAGGACCGCATCCGAAGTGGATAGCAATCGGAGCTGCGTTCTCCTAACACTACAGTCCACGACCGACCGGTTTCATCCAAATTTGGACTCGTCAGGTAGAGAGCCTTCTCTGAGTGAAGTGCCCAACACAGCATCTGACGACTTTCGTGTTTTTCACCAGGTCTGGGTTTCACAGCAACGCTTGATACAGCGTACTTATTATGCTGTCATTTAAATAGGGCCAATTTGACAGCAGATAAATACCTTATCTCCGGAAATCCATTAAGTAGAGTTATTATGCGGCCAAGCCAGTGTTATTGCGCTAAATAAACCGGTTGCTATGCAACTCCAACCTGGACGAACCAGACGGCCAAACTACTGCTTCATGTATCCACCTGTTTCACTATACTTGCTGTAGCAAGTACATTAGTCGTACCGAGAGATGGCTGTGAGAATCACAGAGCATATTTCTCCTAACATGTTTGCAAACGGCCCCCAGCTACCTGCTAACTCGATTGCTCGTCACATACTCCACCACTCTGTTTGTCAAAACCCATGCGGATCGTTGAGAGTAATTGACAAGCAAAGAGACCCCTGTCTGTTACATCTCTCCGAAGCCTCAACGATTCGCGGCTGAGACCGAGTTTATGCAAACGGACAGATTTTATGACCTGTCTCGCTCTACTGTGGTGAGGTGAGTGCTGGTCTCCCTCCATTTGGAGCACTCGTGTGCCCATTGACCTTGGCTCGCCTTAACTTTCGCCAATTAACCGCACGTTACTTGTCTCTATATGCAACTTAGCAATTCCACAACTTGTGTGTAAGCTGCCGATGTGAATGCACAAAATAGCTGCATTTAGTTTAATCTGTTGTAATGGGGTTCCTTCTTACTCCATTAGATCTTATCTCCATTGAATATTGTGCGTAAGTTAGTTTTTGATCTTGTTTAAATTCTGATGTCGCAAACCACTAGATTCTCTCTTCCTTCCTAATCATTATCAATCTCTTTTCCCTTTATACAGCTGCTGTCGTCACGTTGGAGCAACAGCTGTCCGAATGCAGAGGTAAGATCTACGTCTACGCTTATTCACATGAGGCCTATGCTCACTACGGGTACGCTCGCGCGCAGATGTATCGTACCTGATTATCCCATTCCTGTTTGCTATTTATTCAGTCTTGTCTCATGTTTCATCTGTTTAAATTCCCCCGTGTCTATATGGTGTGCTTCCATTGTTACGCTACTATCTTAAAGTCGTAGATACTGTTCCACCTTTGTCTGCCTGATGGTCGATGCAAACAGCGGTTATTAAGACATGTTCACTAAGCGCCAATCCTGCACACTTTATGATCACGCTTCCACCTTACTCAGTTTTCAAGCAGCAACACGCAAGCACGTAGGCATCAGCAGTACACTGATATATCTTACCGATGCTATGGCGCCACGTGACCAGCAATAATCATGCACATGCCAAAGATATTGCGGGGTTGCCAGTGCCTACGTAGCATCGGACTGAGGACCTGTGTGTCACAAGACTGACGCCTTATACCAACCGTCCACCTAGGGACACGCGAGCCCATCGACGAAGCATGTTGAACAGTTCATTGGGTATACTAGTTCGTATCTTTAGGAAGTTGAGTTATACACGACAGTTGCATCTTATAGTTCTAGTCAGCGTATGTTGCTTCACCAGGGCCTTCTAACGGCCGTAGGTCGCTTTACCTTACACTTGCCGCCAATCCTATCACGTTCTCGTTTCACCTGGGCCATACGCGAATATGCAATTCCTACAGGTGTGAGTTCTTTCCTCTAACTGTTTTTGTGGAAGCGGGGATTTTTCGAGGACCTCTCACTGCATCGACTGGTGGCCGAGCGAATGTGTCTGGCTTAGGCGTCCACTGGTCACTGGTCCGATCCTGCGGGCAACTTCCCAGTATCCCTAACCTCCAGAGCAGCAAATCGTCGGTAAGACTTACTGGTGCTACTGCATCAATCGATACGGTTTTCTGACTGGAACCGTAATATCAAGTAATAAACGCATATTCTCTTTACGCAATGACACCTGATCTGCAGATGAGCCTCTGTTACCGTTCATCAGCGTATGTTGATTTAATGCTTCTTCGTTTCCTTACTATTCTGCAAGTCGTCGAACAACCTTTTACCTGTTACCTTTCTAAATTCGTTACTCTTCAGGTGCAGTACTTACTGGTTCCTTGATAAATCAGCTAATAAATTTAGAGTACGCGGCAATCTAGCTGTTTTTGTGTACAACCTAGCTGCTATAATCTTCCCACTTGTCGCGACTCCGAAATAAGCACCGTACCGCTCCACAAGTCCTCTAGTACAACCGAAGGAAAAATCAGAACATGAATGAACTTGGCAAAATACCACTTTGACCACCACCAGAACCACTGTACAAGTGAAGCAGACCTTGTTCGTATTTCTGGATCACTTAGTGGCGTTCTAGAATAACAAGGTCAACTGGTAAAATTTGTAGTGCCACACCGATGCAGCCAATCTTCAGGAGGTTGATAGTCACGTGCGAGCGTTGGTGCATTCCAAGGCAATATTCGATAATCGGTAACCATGGATTAATCGTGGAAATAATAGCTTCTCCGGGAATTTCTTGCCTTTTCCCTGACACCTCGCTTCCTGAGAAGACGTCAGTGGTGTATGATGAAAGTGCGATTGACCTGTGGCCTTCTTGACGGTGTTCTTTGTCTTTCGGTCTATTCCTTAGGCTGAAGTGTTCGATAAACGGCTTCTGGAGTCTATGCTCTGATTTCCTTGCTCGACCGACAACAGACATCTATGGGCTTTTTTGGTAACCTGTAACTTTCCACCAACAAGTTAAACGAGAGATTAGCAGGCTTTGCTTCTTCTGGTTGGCACAGTGTTGACCATAGCTAGTTTACATGGCGGGCTCATATCTGCGTTCCCACGATCAGGTCATACATGACATTTCTGTGCTTGTTTTTGATCGTGCCGGGCGTCAACTTTGCGTGGCCTTTCCGATAGTCACCTGCTAACGCCGTCTGTCCCGACGCGAACGATGGTTGCTTTGCTCCATGCCGCCTTTTTAACATGCTGTTTCATTCTACGTTTCCTTTCAACAACCGAGGGCTCTGAGCCCGGTCGGATGGCATACGGAACTTTGTGTTCATCATAGCCTGTGTTGATGTTTGAGGAATCAGTTTTGGCCGGTTAAGGAAGAGGAACCGGCCGATCACCTCCATTGATTTGAGGAGAGCTCGCTCGAAGGTACCCACGAACCTCTGCCTGGCCATTCGACTTTTTATGTGAAACGGTGGTGAGCTTGTGTGCTGTACGGCGCATTGCTTGTGGAACGCTGTACAAGTTGCCGGATTGGAATGCGTGCCGTACCTGCTAAATATTTTCGCGGTCTTGATACATTGGCATTGGTTGTTGTGCTATCCGTGAGTAAGACTAGGCCATTTTCTGTAGCAGTCGACTACGATGAGGAAACTTCGGTCGTTCATCGGTCCTACGAAGTCGACATGGATACGGCATCATGGTTTCGTGAGTTTTATCCATGAATGGGGCACCGCTTTTTGTGGCGCTTTTAGGATGCAGGCACATTTTGTCAGCCTTTAGCTAGTCATTCCAGCTGTTTGTTCATAAAGACCAGTACACAGCTACGGGCACGCGCCTTCATCCGGTTGATCGCAGGATGCTCGAAATGGAACTGTCGAATTACGCGCTCTTGTAGGGTCTTCGGGAGGAGAAATCTGTCCACAACTATTATGCGGTCGTCCACAGTGGTGAGTGAATATCTCCTTTGGTAGTTATGCTGCAGTTAGACTGGGGAACATGAAGGTGGCCAGCTGGTTCTTTGGAACTGTATGATCTTCTTGAGTACTGGGTCCCGAAATGTTTCTCTTCGTATAGCTTCTGTGGTAACTGGTCGCTCATGCCACGCGTCCTTCATCAGGAACATGACGTCAGTTTTGACCTCGACCGAGGCGCTGACTTTGTCCTGTTGTTCTTGCTAATGGGCATCAACTAAGCGTGCCAGTGCATCCGCTTGACCCATGAAAACCGTTGACTGATAGTGGATCTCGAAATCATCTCTCATTAGAATGAGAGCCCCTCTTTGTAGCAGATTGAATGTTTAGAGTCGGGATGCCCTTCTCCAACCAGAGATAGTCAACAAGTACTTGTGATCTGTCGAAAGTTTGAAGCGGAGGTCCTACAGCATCTTATGGAATTCCTTCACAGTAGACTCTATGGCCAATGTTTCTACCTCGATCCGGCTGTAGTTTCTTCCAGCCTCTGTTCACGTCCTGGCGGCATAAACGATTGCTTTCTGAGATGCATCTGAGCAAGTATGCGGGCTGTGTCCGGTACTTTTCGCAAGTATGACGTTTGAATGAGCGAAGACATGTAAAGTGGGATTAGCCACATGACCTGCATGCTGTAAGTGGTTTGTTCGGGACCCTCTTGAACGGTTAGCTTGGGTTAACAGTCGTGACCTTTTTCATAGCGTGAATGGTATAGGGTTGTGCAGATCAACTCTGTCCGATAAGAGCAGTGTCGTGCTTCAGTGTTACCAATCATTTGCATTTGTTTACGAAAGACTTCAGTGTCAGATCTTGATCCTGATCCAGATTAACCAAAGGCGCGTGCGAATCTCAGCATCACGAGGGGACTGTAGAGCACTGAGGAAAAAGAGACCCTTAAACTGATCATCCTTTAACGGGCGTAGCTTGAAACGCTCAAAGCCGCAGGACTGACCATATCTTCTAATGCCCCAAAATCCTCCGTTTTCTGTTTGACAGTTCTAAGCCATTGGTAGCGAATATTGAACAACGACTCACTAAAAATTACATTGCGTTGCGAAACTGCTTCGTGGAACGTCGGATGCTTCAGCTGTTGGGACAAAATGTGGTCAGTAAACCTTGTTTGTTCGTATGTGTCGAGCATGCGGAGTAATAATCGCACTTTCCAGGAATCGTCCTGACGACTGAAGTGCGTCACGAACCTGTCTTCGCAACATTTGGATCACGCTCCAAAAGTGCATCCAGAATCCGTGTCATTGTTAACTTCACTGATGACATTCGTCATAAGATCAACAGAATTCGCCTGCGTGTCTCGCATCGCTGCTCATGTAGACTGCAGATTCATGCAATGCGCCAATTTCTCTATCACTTTCATTTGAGCCTCCATTCGAGATTGCTGTTGGAGAAGCATCTTCTGGAATCGTTTACCTAGAAAATCCGTCGCCATTTGTTATACTCTTTCCACTTGTCGCGACTCGGAAATCTGCGCTTTACTGCTCCACAAGATCTCTAGCCCAACCGGATTAAAAATCGGAACGCAAACGACCTTGGCAGAATAACGCGTTAACCGCCGCCAAACACACTGTACAAATGAAACAGACCTTGTTCGTATTTGTAGGTCACTTCATGACCTAGCATAACAAGGTCAGCTGGAAAATTAGCAGTGCCACACCGATGCAGCCAATCGTCAGGAGGTTGGCATTCACATGCGAGCCTTGGTACATTTCGTGGTTTTCGAAATTGTTGCGATAATCGGTAGCAATCGATTAATCGTCGAAATAATAGCATTTCCGTGAAGTTCTTGCCTTTTCCCGAACACCATCTTTTATACAAAGGCTACATGGTGAATTAACAGCGATTACTGCACGCATTGCCGTGTTTTGTCACAAAACTTGGTGAACATGGTTCTAGCTTTTTCAATTGTCGATAGAGGTTTGTTCGTTTAGCTTCTTCATCTCTGTTCGCTTCAACTCCATACAGATTTCTGCAACACGCGGATTGCTGGTGAGATTTTTTGGACCTCAGTTGCCGTTTGAGACGGTATGACATTCTTTCATGGTTAGAAATTAGTATGTGCAACGAGACATGCCGTCTTCACGTAGAGGACGTTGTAATACTGGTTGCCGTCGTGCCAATTGGGGTTACGAAGCATGTTCACATCTCTGTGAACCATTGAGTTCAACGGCCTTTGTTCCGAAACATCCAATTGGTGCCACACCTTTACGTCTATTTCATCTACATCGGTTAGGTCATGTTCATCGCATTTCCTCCGACCACCAACTTCCACATGTGCTGTCCTCGGACACTGCGCTTGCTTGGACGAAGCCTCGAGTTGACCAGTGATTGACACCGCAACGGGTCATCGAGCAGTTACTGATAGATTTGTGAGTAGTGTAATTTTCGCAGAAAGTAGAAACCGCGATTAAACTGCACATAATCTGCCTCGACGTGGAATCGAACTCCGGACACACGGGGTTCGATTCCTCTTCGATGCAGATTATTGTGCATTTTACACGTGGCTTCCATTTTCTACGAAAAAGCATGGAGAAATTGCTCGAACCTTTGGTTCGGGCTGATACATGAAGGTCTTCCTCAATGGGGGCCATCCTTGGCCACCTCCTTGCTCCATAGATTTCATCCGCCACAGTCCATTCCACAAGTGAACAGCTGTTTTTCTGTCAACTCTTCCATCCTATCTTTGCTATTTTCTTGTTTGACTCCTTTTCCTTCGCACTTTTGCGCAGTTGTTTGCGTTTTTTCATTTCTTCTGATTACGTCACTCTTACTGAGATAATCAACTATTGTAATCTTTTGAACGGTCTAAACTCGTGGATAAATTTGACAATAAAGTGCCAATTTAATCGGATAAATGACGCGACCTCGTTGCTTGCTGGTTAGGGAATACCAGAGCAACTAAGTCAATTGGACAGTTAGGCTCCTCGTAAGAGGATTTAATTGCGTTCACTGAGGGGATTATGACCAATGATACATAGGTTCAAGTTCTTTCACCGAGTATGGCCGTGCGATCTTACGAAAGTACATACAACTGAGATCTCGATTTCTGGCTATCAGTTGTTGTAAGCGTATTTGATCGAAACGGCTTTTTAGTCGGAGTGAACATCCGGCTCTTTCGGACTATGATCTGTGCGGGAAGTGGCTGTTCGATTTTGGACTGATGCACCCCGTGAGAATTGATCACTAGTCGCCTTCTCCCTCGCTGTGCCGAGTTGAAAACGGACTCCGCACGGCTGTCCACCAGCCCGAGAGGATAAAAGATAGACCTACAGCAGGATTGCTTTTGTAAGCTTAACCTTTGTATTTATGCACGGTTAGCCTCTTTAGACGTAGGTACTTGTTAATGGGTTTGTGACTGTCAATCGTTAACAGTTTTACCGAGAGAATCACATGGTCCACGACTTGGGATAAGGGTTTAAACCATTATTTGGTAACGGTATCACTAAGAAAACATTGTTTACTTATCACACGGCATCAGTACGGTTGAGTTAGAGGTTGGGAAAAGGCATCTGGTGCGAAGTCTTTATGGAACCACGCTTTTTCCACAGCTGGACATGTTACACAGTATGAGGGCGATGTTATCTAACAGCGGGGGTGGAATGAAACTATGTAGAGCTGCCTAGGATAACAATGAATGGCACAATAGTCTGTAGGAGCAGGTGTCAGATGAGGATCTTCGTAGCAAATATCGATACCCACGATGGGAGTTGCAATAAAAACATGGCGTACTGCATAGTTAATCGCATGGGGTACACAGATAATGGTTTATCCGGGATCTCGGTAGATGGCGCAGATTGTGTGGCTATCTGAATTATGATCTTGACATCCAGCCTGCGCTTTTCATGGTAATTTTGCCGCTTACACATGTTGCACCCAAGATCTTGGGATGCGAACAGCATTCTGTTAACTTGTTCCTCATAATTATCAAGCTTTTGTTCCCAAAATGTTTTTTATAACCGCCACAAATGAGTGGCACGCATTCATTTCCTTGCTGGTTATCTTTGAGACAAAGTCTTCATCGCGCACCAGAGCTCGAATTTGATGGCCATCAAAAAGACCAGCTTTGATCTTCCTCAAGGACAAATCCGGAGAAGCAGAAACTATGCGCTTAAAACATTCGACATTATTATTCAAGGCTCTCACAAACTGTTTCATAAAGCTAAGTTTCAAATGCAGTATAGGAAATATGATCTTCTCTCTTCTGACATTCGGATCATGCACAATGTTTCACGTCTTGGCCACTCATTCTGTGTCCAATGTTTCTGACGAGCTCGACTGTCCCACAAGCAGGGATAAAATGGGAATTTCGTGTGGCTTGTCTGCTGACCAAGAAGGGGTCACCATTTTCAAACCAATACAACCTATCCAGTTGTGTTCATGCTGTTTGATGAGGCCAATAGCTATTTTTATGTCATTGTCACTCAAATGCACTGAGTAACTTACTGGAACTGCTCCATACGCATTGCCATTGTGCATTGGAACACACTGCGCTTTGGACTATCCATAAATAATTTACGCTCTCGTGGATCATACGAGGCAATCCCCAATTGCAATAAGAGACCTGGGATATCATTGCAGAAACAAGCTCCTTGTCTTCTGAATAACGGCTAGGAAACTTTGATCGCGTTTTCAAAAGTAGAAATCTGTTGCTTTACACCTAAGTAGATTTTTGTATAGGTTCGTCACAGTTAGACATTGGCAGACATCCACCACACATTGAGGAGAGCGCTAGACGGCCAGTTCGTCCTATTGTGACTCGTCAGTAGCGCGCACCCGCCGAATCCTGCTGGATTCGAACCCCTACCTTACTCTTGTGAGTCAGCGACCTATGTAACTGAGTCATGGGCGCCGGCAGCGGACCGCCATTACTGATGTCTAACTGCGATATAGCGCGGCTCATCCTCCACTGTCTTGCATGAATGAATGTGCAGAGGACAGCGCGGGCCCCCGGAGCACCAACTTCCTTTGCAAGCCGCCACCAATCGAGGTGGCCTGTAAGCTGCTAAGGCGATTACTGATTATTTGTAAGTAGTGGGGGATTTTCTTAGGTTTTTGTATAGATGCGTCCCAGTTAGACGTATATAGACAGCCTCCACACATCCAGGAAAGCGCTAGACGGCCGTTTCGTGCTATTGGGATTCGTCAGTAGCGCGCACCCGCCAAATCCTGCCGGATTCAAACCCCCGGCCTTACTCTTGTTTGTCAGTGACTTATGTAACTGAGCCATGGGCGACGGCAGCGGACCGCCATGACTGATATCTAACTGCAATATAGCGTGGCAGTTAGATATCAGTCATGGCGGTCCGCTGCCGTCGCGCATGGCTCAGTGACATAAGTCACTGACTCACAAGAGTAAGGTTTGGTTTTGAATCCGGCAGAATTCGGCGGTTGCGCGCTACTGACGAGTCTCAATAGGACGAACTGGCCGTCTAGCGCTTTGCTGGATGTGTAGTGGATGTCTGCCTATGTCTAACTGCGACGAATCTATAAAAAGTCTAATAAATCCCCCTACTACTTACAACTTAAGTAGATGTTCTTCACGTAGCCTGGTGGCTAATAACTCAGCGTCTCTCTTGGAGAGCCTTAAATGACGCACTAAGTCATTCATTTCTTATTGACTGAATTGCTGATTGGCTGATTACAGTTCAGCATCAGTTACAGAGTCTTCATAAGTTGCAGCTGATTCACGTAACTGGGCCCTATCTTCATGCCCACTGACTTCCTCATCTGATGCAGTGAAACTTTTACATTTTGGAATGGGATGCTCTTCAGAGTGCGGTTTGGGTCGAATTTCAGAGGAAATACTGGGATAAGAGATCTTATGCCAATATATTTTCCAATGCCTTTTGTATCAACCATGCAAAAATAGCGGTCTGTTATGTGGCTCGTAGGTTCTCGTCAAACCATGGGAACTCCAAATGTTAGGTCTTTGTGTTTGCTTTTTGTCCAGTCAGGAAGCATTTCCTCATAATAATGACACACAATGTGGGGTGCCCATTTTAAGTCTTGGTCGTCAAGGTGTGCTTCGAAGTATGATTTATAGACACATTACACAAACGAAGTGATATTTTTCCTTTGGCGAACTAGTGTACAACAGTCGCGTATATAGCAAAATGCATCAGGTTCATTTGCATATTTATGTTGCCCTGAGTGAGCCATGGTCATATCCGAAACGAAAGAAGATTGGCGAATAATTTTCTATTTATGTAAAATATCAAAATGCATGAAAACTGGAGCGTGCGGAAAACAAGGCGGGTTTCAGATTTGAAATCAGCATTAAAAGTTCAGGTAGCATCAGTTTAAAAGTCTTTTGCAGCAGAAAGTTGCCAAAGTTTGTTGCCCTGCGTTATCAATGAGCGCAACTTGAAAACCCCCGATACCAATTCGTATGCAGCGAAGCCAGTGCCTTTTTGTGCTAGATTTCATGGGCTTTTTCGTCAGTGCACTTCGGAATGCTTCAAGACCGCTAGAGTTGAGCTTTACATCATTCCATCTGTTGACAACTGTCCTCATGCGTACTACACTTTACCATCCAATATGCAACCTCGATTTAAGGTGGACTCGTAATTGTTCTCAAGCTGCGAATCAGAGCGCCAAGCTATCAACCGACTGTTTATTTTATTAACCGTTCCATTTTGAAACTGAAAAGCCCATTGCCACTGAGTATTTGGAATTCTAGATCGTTCTGTTTTTCTTGTCGCGCCTCTTTAATGAGCGCATGTAACGCTGCGTTTCCACTCCTACCTCTTAGATTCTACTTCCAAGCTGGAATTACAACTGAACGAATCTCGCGGTTAGTTAGACTTATTCCGCTTTTGTCATCGCGCCGCTCTATTACTGTCGGTTTGCCTAATTGCCTTTACTACACATTTGCGCGATCGCTTTCGACCTACTTTGGCTGAGTCCATCTGTTCTCTAAAACTTTTCCATTGGGAAAATGCGTCATAGATGTATCACACGCGCTCTAATTCCACACTCAACGCATTTAAACCATGCTATCTTACATCACCTGCTTACATCCTCTCTAGCGTCGAACCATATACGCACATCTGATGAGATCTTGGAAATCGTCTACATTTTGGGCTCGTTGTCCTCTTCTCCGGTCGTCTCTCCGGGCGGATAATGATAAGATTGCGTAAATTATCAACCTTTTGGAAATTCATTTTTCGATCACAAATGTGATTATCTAGTTTTCACAATTATTCGAGTTGCTATCCGGGTAAGGTAGTTGTAATGACATATTCGTAACGTCGTTGATTAGCTATTTTCTTTCAATGAATTGTATCGCGATTCACTAGAAACATGTTCTCACACTGGAACAGGAAGTTATTTCTCAGGCTTGCCGAAGGCTACATGTTGTCTACTGCTCTCGCACCTAGTCGGGTTGGGCACTCGTGCAACTGGCTTGTCACACAGAAAATGGGGTGTATAAATTGATTAATACTACTTGGCACGCCCATATCCGTGGGCGCAAATTTTTACCCTACATATCGCTGCCGCGTAGTCCATGTCACCTCGGAGTCCGATCTCTTGCATCTGGCGGCCAGCGGATTTTTGCCGAATTCTTTGTCGAAGATTTTTCTCGCATTTCTGTTATTTTGCGCCATCATTTATGAACGAGGAATCGTGCAAACCACCCAATACTTCTAAATTTTGAGCCACACGCAACTCTAGAGCGAATCCAACATTTACAGCAAAGAAGTGCATAACGATGCTGTTCGAGAGGACGTCAATGATTTGTCCACAACAACTCCCGACGATGTACAAACAATACGAAATCAAATTTAGTTATCACAATGCAGGTGTTCAAGTGGCAACGACTGCGCACACTTACCCTGTTGCCACTTAGTCCGTCTTAGGACGTTCGGGCATAGTGCGAAGCACGTGGGAGCTGGCGTATCACGGATACATGCAGGGGCGTACATACGCAAAACGCGCCGAGAAAATCACGACCTGGTGATTGTGTTAGGCTCAACGAGTGGCTCCACCCAGTATAGAACGGGTTGTGGCCAAGACTGCCAAATGTGTGTCTAGTATTCATGTTTCCCATTGTTCAAAGGAACGGCATGCATTTTGAATGAGGGTGTGCCGGCTGCTGCTTAACCATGGCTCCAGTCCACCTGAATTCCAGTTTCATTCCTTCTGTTCTACACTGGACACAAGTATATGTACAGTGTAGTTATAAGAAAATCGGTGAACTGACAGTCACTGAAAATAAACACATCCACAATCACACCTGACAGCAGTTGCAAGTATGTAGTTACGGACACCGGCGAGTGGACGCACGGAAGGTTATGGCAAATAAAAAGGGATGCAGACTTGAGACCCAGTAGAAGCCGAACTGGTCACTACAAAATGCTACGCAAAATACATCGACGCGTGTCTCGATGTAAACGTTTCTGCATTCAGAGAGTATCTTAGCACTGACAATCGCCAGACACGCACAAGATGCATGGCAATTGGTTTGGATTGAAGTGTACTAAGAGAGATTCGCTGATAAAGATACGCCTTAAATTGTTCGTATGTCTAAATATTTGTTCTCAACTTACAAGTCAATAATCTTATTCCAGCCACTAATTTCCTACTTAGTAATTCGTCCCGGTGAGACGGATTCATGTCTCTCATATACCAAGTACCGAGTGACAGAACCATGGTACGTGACGATGCGAATGAAAGAATCCTAATCGCTCATTCTGAATTGTCCGAAAGGAACAGAAAAGGTTACTCAATGACCGGAAATGCAAAGCACGGAAACGTTGCCAAATAAACGGGGCCTTCATGAGTAGTGACTCTTAGGTTTTTTATACGGCGGGATCATCAGCTTTACAAATGATCAAAAATAGTGGGCTCCTATAGCCATAGCAAGCAATTAAGAGATTGTAGATTTATTCGCAGTAGCTTCCTAATCCAAATAGTCATACCCATGCCCAGAAAAGTACTGGACGACCGCGTTTTGACCTGCTGAGACTGGTGCGCATTTATCGGATCCATCCGGATTCGAACTCATGATACTACTCGCGGCTTGCACCGCCAGCCCACAGTTTATGTCACTGAGTTGGGAGCTACTGCGAAGAATCCAGTCACAATTTGCATCAAAAACCGCCCATTCATTGGTACACTAAGAGTTTGCAATGTCTTAGAAGTCTCGAAAAGTATGTGGGCTAGTTGCCCTCTATGTTTTCGATGCATTCTCAAACGCACGGCTGAGGAAGATGACAGAACAAAATGCTGATAACGCGTATGTGCATCAGCGGTGTTTATCATGCTTAGGGGTAATCATATGAGATGTACGGGTAGCCAGAGGGAGGTTCTCAACAAGCGCAAGAACCGTAGTAACCGAAGCCGATAGATCTCTAAGTTTGCTGTATGCAGCCAACGCGACATGAGGTATGCGGCCGTGTAGAGTGGAAAGATCCGGATTAGCAAACAAATGAAGAGACGAAGGATGGCCGTTAAGTGAGAGCGAGGTTGGTCCCTTTAGTCAGTAATGATACGTAATTAGATGCGACTTTTTCTATAAGCCTGATGGACAATAATCAACGTGTTTGGAATACAAATGCGCGTACATTAAACTATTAATGAAGGCATTTTTGGTAATGAATGATAAAAAATTTAAAGAGGCACCCACTTGCTTCAGCATTAAGGAAACCGGATTAGGAAGAACAGTATCTGGTGCGGTGTTTTCGTCCATCACAACGGAGAACAACCACGGGCAAAGCTGTAACGAAAAAGACCATTCGTCGAAATAATTTCAGGGGAAATGGTAACCGGAGTAAGACGGGTGGAAGGAAAATAGAGCGTGTGCCAACACCAGAAGAATGAGAACAGTTTCAGAGGTCTAATCAGAGAATACAAGTAGGAACGAATACGCCAGCTGGGAAATCGCACTGCAGGACGTCACAAGTAACGGATAAAATTGTGAAAATGAGAGAAGCAGACTCAAATGAAGTCAAGCTTTATGAACCCAAATGGGTTCATTTTCGGCATGAACACTTCTCTTGTGGGTGTGCCGGAAGACGATATTAACAAAAAAAGCATATAATCGAGAAGAAAATGAACCATATATTCAACTGTCACTCGAGCACCTGCTCGCACAGTATGGTTGTGCCTTACTTCGGGTCAACAAGCAAAAGCGACAAACGAAGTGTCGGTAAATAAAACCATGAAGTTTGATCGCTATAGAGTGGATGAAATCGGCCAGTTACGACATTCGAACGATAATTGCAGTTATCAAGATGACTAGGATAAACAAAATATTAGACAATTTTTAGAAGAATCGCTGCATCTAGTCATGTGCTTTATCGATCGCACCAGTAAAGCATAGTTATTTGGAAGAAGTCCAGGAAAGTTCACAACTGTAATAATGGGGGATATGCACGAAGTCAGGAACTTAAATATTAAGGCGAGGGTACGGATAACACTTTAAGCATGAGGGTATCAAAAGGACGTTTTCTGACTATGAAATGCTTTACAAACGTGCGTAAGCGAAGGAATATTTTAGGACAAAGGGACAACGAAATACTTAACGGTGGATGATCTGAGCATGGGATTTCCCTCCACAATTAGGACAGGGGAGACATGCATGAGAGACTGCGGTTTATCATCAAGTAAAAGAGAAACTATTCTATCGATGAGTTGGAAAGATTCCAGGAATAAGGTATGTGGATGAAGAGCACACCACCAGATCTTCTAATCGGTATAGTGTGGTGCAGTAGACTCCTAACCATGATCATCAGAGAGTAAAAACAATTCGCATGTGCTCAACCTTTCCACCGACAAACATGGCCCAATACAAAGTGCCAATAGAAACCAGGTTCTGTACGTTGGATAGTGCTATCCAGTAAACCTCCGCATCTCAATGGAGCAATAGTTGGCGCTATGTAATAGCTTCAGGCTGAATGCTGGCCCATTGTCAACTGAATAAGGAAAAAAGGTGAGTACAAGTCAGCGGCCTGCATGAGCTATTCTGGAGTGTTGGAAAATTTCTAGAAGCATATGAGAAGATTGTAAAGAATAGCGAACTAGACCAAACAGGATGGGAAGGGCAACATCGAGTTCAGCAGCTGGACTATGAGTAATTGTAGAGATAAGTCAGAACCATAAAGAGAAAAAAAGACGAGTGGATAAGTAAGAACGAGGACTACTAATGACACGTTGAAGGCGCCGGTGCTCACGGACGAGTAACATCCTGATTTCCCCAATACCTGTAGAAATATCGCAGACCAACGCCCAAGGTTGCATAACCTACCCCAGTGTAACAAAGTAAAATCTCGCAGCTTCCAGTGGCAGCTGAGACATTGAAAGGTTAATCAAGCCAATCGAATTCGAGCAGTAACCCTGTCGGGGTGGTACAGCTTCGAAGAAAAACAAGTTGAAAGACCGCCGACTGTCAGTGAGAACTGGTAGTGTCTGGAGCCAGTCAAGTGCCAGAGTCTTGTGCTACGAAAGTGTGAAGCACATTTCGGAAGAAGATATGCCTGTTTGTGCATTAACCAGTGCTGGCATGCGATGCTACGTTCGATTATAAGACGACTTTATCCTTTCCATAGGTAGTTTCTAAAACACAAATTCAGGAACAAAAAAGGAACAGAGAAACCGGACGGGGAAGCAACACACTTCGCAGGAGGCGGTGCGCCGGCATGCTTAACTCACAGGGAGGGAAATGAACTCCGATTACGTTAACGATGCAGTCAATGGTTAAAACATTTGATGGTGCAAAACATTCAAGCATTCTGTTTATGGTGTTCCACCTTGTATAACTATTTAGGGGTTTATTTCTGCGGTTTTCTGTGA